AGTAAATATTGCGTAATACAGAGAGTAACCCGAAATTTATTTTTTTTTTTTTAAAATGAAAAAAAATGAAGGAAAAAAAATATATATAGCCCATCGGTTCATAAGGAGGGAGGGTGGGCGTTATACTCTTAGATTTAGGATTCATTATTCTTATTATTAAATCTATAATCTAAAATCTAAGATATTAAATTCGCAGGCAAACTTTTCGTGTTGATCACAACCAAAAAAGAGTATACTTTGCAAGTGTTTTGATGATCGTTTGACCGGGAGTCTATGGGGCACATTATTTTAAAAAATATAAAAAAAAATTGTACCACTATATTTCAGAGAGTACGACAGATTACCGAATAGGAAAAGGCTATTGTCTGTTTTTTACTCTACGATAATAATTAATTGATAAACATAACTGATAAAATCGACCAATTAGCTTAATCCAAATATGAATTATGCAATGTTTGTAATACAAGAATTAAAATATAAATTGGGCTCGACTTTATTTGTTTGCCTTTCCATTGAAATCAAAAGAAATGTCTGCTCAATTTTTTACAAAATTAAGTAAAAATTATATCGAAATTTTGGAAGATAATGAATATTATGATGTTACTATTGAAGTTGGTGAGGACCCGAACGTAAAAATATTTCGTGCACATATGATTATCTTATGTCAACGTTCACCATTTTTACGGCGAATGTTAACTTCAAACAAAAAGAATAATGATGATGTATTAGTTCATATTAAATTATCGAATATTTTACCGGAAACCTTCCAAATTATTTTAAGGTAAGGTATAATATATGTAACCCATTTTTAAGATGTTAAAATTTTTAATGTTTTAAATGTCAACCTTAATTTATAACGTACTGTAGGTATCTTTATGGTGGTATTTTTTCATCAAATGGACATGATACTTCAGATATTTTTAAAGTCTTAGTTGCTGCTGATGGGCTTCTTCTTCAAGAATTAGTTGATTTTTTACAAAAATTTTTAATTGAAAATAAAACTGAGTGGTTAGAGCAACATTTTGAATTTACACATCGAACAAGTTTTCAATATAATAATTTATCAATACTTCAACAATATTGTACAGATTTAATGGCTAAATCTCCTGAAAAAATATTCAAATCATTGGATTTTACTTCGCTTCCTGAAAAATCTTTGATTTCACTTATTATAAGAGATGATTTACAAATGAAAGAAATTGAAGTTTGGGATTATGTATTAAAATGGGGACTTGCACAATATCAAGATCAAACTCTCATTTCAGATCCAGATACTTGGACAGATGATAACTTCAAAATATTGAAAAATATTTTACAAAACTGTTTACCTTCAATTAGATTTTTTAGTTTATCATCTAAAGAATTTTTACACAAAGTTCGTCCATATAAAAGTCTCTTTAAACAAGAATATTATGAAAAGTTATTAAATTCTTATATGGATCCTGATAGTGAACCGAGTGATGATATTTTACTTCCGAGAAATCTAAAATTTGATGGAATTATTGATTCAGAAATTGTTAATTTATATTTTGTGTCAATAATTTCAAGATGGATTGATAAAGTAGACATAAATAACAAATTTGGTCATTTAAGAGAATTATATTTACCATACAAATTTGATTTATTATTAAGAGGAAGCAAAGATGGATTTAGCCCTAATAAGTTTCATGAGTTGTGTAATTATAAGCCTAATACCGTTACATTTATTAAAGTAGATGGAACTGGAGAAATTCTAGGCGGACACAATCCTTCAATATGGCAAACAAATGTTAAATTGAGTAAACCTTATAGTTTCATATTTTCTTTTAACGAAAACGAGCTTAAAGTTCCAATATTAAGTCACTTAAAAAGTATGGACAAAGTATTAAATTACTCTGTATTTGACGGTCCTTCATTTGGTTCTGATCTCAAATTATCAGTACTTTATTACAGTAGGCGACGAGATTATGACCCAGTAACAGATGCATTTAATTATAATATATGTAAACAAGAGAATTATGAGAAAAAGATAAGAGATACGGAAGATGAATTTGTAGTAAAAGATTACGAAGTATTCCAAATCATAAAGAAATGATATGTTAATATAAAGAATTGAAAGAATCATTAATTCAATAATAAAATGTACTGATAATGTAAAATCAGAATTTTGTAAACGTTATTATTTTTAAATAATGATAGTTGGAATGTCAATATAATGCAATAGAATTTGGCAGGGAGTTGGAGGTTAAGTTATTATTTGAAGATTTGTATTATTCGAGTTTGTATACATGAATTCTAATACCATAAACTATTTGAATAATAATTTTCTTTATTGTAAACAGGAAGATTTTTATAATACTGTATTAATAAATCATAAAGCAAAGTATAAAAATGAAAATTTACATAACTATTATATGAAATCTATGTAATGAAATAATGAAAATGACTAACTTATCATACCTTTGGCGAGTTATATGTTTTTAAATTTCTTTTAATAGAATGATTAACTCGGTAAAAAAATCATTATTATTTTCTTCTTTTTACACAATACGTAATTAATAGGTCTTGATAGTCATGTGTAAATTTTTCAGCTATGTGAAATTGATGATCTTGATGATCTTAACGTGAATTGCTCTTATTTTTTTTTCGTGACGCCAAAAATTACACGTAGAATATAGGTATATTTCATTATATACTTTAAAAAAAGATATGAAGTTTATACTTTACAGATGCTTAAATAAATTGAACTAACTAATATTTGAGATGTGTTTACTTCATCATTATCAAACCATAGTTATCACTTTTTATTATCTTTTACTTTTACATCAAAATAACGATAAGCGACAATAGAAAAAAAATATTAACTGTAATAAAAATGAAAAACTCCATAACAGACATATCAGATATTATATTACATAAAATATTATCCAACAATATTTTTTATGAGATGAATCAGAAACTGAATTTATAGGTATTGAGGATATTTAAATTATATGTTATTATTCTATGCCAGTTGTTATATAAATAAAATTTTATAAATATTTTACTACTCTAATTTTAGTGTTTAAAATTCAATTTACTTCCCATTCTTTGAATTTATTTGCAGCTTCTTAAATACTTCAGATAATTTATAGAATGTGGCCAACTATTGGATATCGATAGTTCTATTGAAAAATGAATGTGAATGATTGAATAAGAAAATTAAATAATAAAGAAAATTTTGATTAGCGGTATTTACTCCAAACACTATAATACATGATAGAGATTTAATACTTAACGTTAAAAATATGTTCTGTATTATCTAATTAGATGAGTAAAGAGATTTTAAGTAATAACAAAATTTGGTTAATACAATTGCTAATTGCTAAATTGACTTAACAGAGGACAAAAAGTGGTTATGAAACGAGATACTCATTCGCCCATCATTTACAGTATTTGTTGATCGCTATTAAATAAAAATGGAAAATGTATACACTTTATTTTATTAAGTCGCAATTTTCAAAAAGTTTGCCAATTTTCAACTGAAACTCTTATATATAAATCAAAAAAAGTTTATTTGTTATTTATTTCTCTGAAGTAGAAAAAGATTATTTAATATTATATGGTTCATAAGTAATATTAATATATATTTTTGAAAGAAAAGAATATTTTAATATGTTGGAACATGCTAGATTAGTATATAAAATTCATATTAGTTTTCAGTTCAGTTCTTTATTTTAATTTACATCAACTTCGCAATAATAATGTCTATACATGAATATTTTGATCATAACATTCAAAGTGCCGTTCCGTTAAGGTAGGCTTGTATCTAAAAAGCCTTGAGATTTTCCTAAATAAATATAAGTTACAGGAAGGTGTGATGATCTTTAGGCTCTCCCGATGTCTCAAACTTTGGGTTGAGCCAGTACTGGACATTAAGGCACAGTTAATCTTAGGCTTAGTTGATGTTTGGGTGGGATGTAAACCAAGATGGAATTTTTTGCGATTTAGTTTGAGAATATTGCTAATTACTTTTTAGGAATCTAAACCCAAATTAACAAAGGAACGTTTGTGTAAACAAATCTACATCCTAAACCAACTGTAGACGGGACTGTAAGTGGTACAATAAATGATGCCCGAACAGTTGGAACTATAAACGGAACTGGAACTACTTTTGGTGTTGAATTATTCGCATCAAAAAAAAAAGAGATCAAAAGGCAGACATATTTTTTAGTTGAGAAGGTGTAAATCGGCAGAGCTAACTATTTATCTTTAATCTTTTAGAATTATTATGAGAGTTAAAGAAAAACGGAAAAGAACGAATGGTGAGAATTTTCAACCCATTTTCAATGTTCGAATATTCAAATCCCTCCACCACCACGCATTATCACTACTCCCTTTCAACCATGAACGCCTGAACATCAAAATCTTACATTCGATGAATATTGAATAATGATGATGACGATAATCAAAAAAGAAAGGTTTTCGTGAATGATTTGGTTATATTTGATGAAAATGGTGCAAATGATCCCTGAGATTCTTTCTACCAGTTAATATGCTTGATCTTTGCTAATAAATGTCTGCAAATATATATATGTATATAATATAATATATGTTTCAAGAGAAAAATATATTTGTAGAATTTACATAATATCGCTCAAAATTGTGGTAAATGGCACAAGATTATCATGAGATATTATAAGTTTGAATTTTGAGAGCACATTCTCTTGTATGAATCATCAGAAGCTAACAATATTTAAGAGCTTATCGCATATTTCATCGGATCTATCTGTAGATTGAACGATGATTTCCTGAAATACTCTGGTAGATTTTCATAGACACATTCGCAATACATGTAAAGTTAAAACAAAAGTTGCACAAGGCGTAAAGAGAATGTATATGTATATATATATATATATAATAGCTGAATGTATTCAAAGGCTTACAGAAACTGATTTCAAAAAAAATATTTCATTTTTGATTTTATATTTGACAGGAGTTAAAATAATATAACTTTGCATTTGAAAGAAATTACTCGTTATTACATGTTATTTAAATGCATTAATCGAAATAAATCGTGAATATTATTTTTTAGTTGATCATAGCATTATAGTCATAACTAGCTGATGGACCTATACGGTTCACGTTTGCTCCAGATTTTGATTCCGTGATTTTCAATAAAAAAATGAGAATGATCACTTGGAAAAAAATGAACATGAATTCAATGAATTTTTGAATTATTGTGACAAATTAAAAAAAATATGAAATTGATACTGGTTATGTAAATGTTCAATCTAAATGAAAAGTGAATCTTTAACTATATTTATTATACATTTCTTATTATTAAATATAATAATTTCTATTTAGGTTTCATATGATTTGGGACGAAATTTCTGAAACTGAATTTGAATCATCTCAAAAATTGCGTAACAATTTGTGTAATACAAAAAAGCTAAGCTGTATTCCAAAAGAAGATAAAATCAAGGAAGAAAACGCAGATAAAGCTAATGTATTAACGATGTTACGTGATAAATTTTACTATTTAAAATGTAAGAACAGTTTCTATGAAATTTAACTTTTCAGGTCTGTTTTTCCTATTTGGCTTTATTGATTTATCACAGTTACAAGTTGTTTCTAAAAAATATAATTTCAAATATATATCATTACATCACACGTTTATTTATTTGTTGATCATCACCTGATTCACATATTTTTGAAAACGGCGATAATATTAATGGACTTCGTTTAAATGGTCCAACTAAAATTGAATTTCTCATTTCTTTACTCTTAAAAATATTTCTTTCAGAGGAGTTGTTTATACACATCTTTCTCCCAAACATATACTTTTATGCTTATAATTTTTTATTATAAATATACTTAAAAAATTGATTGGAAGACAAAGAAATACAGTAAGATAGAAGGCTGAAAAATTAATATGTATCATGTTTATACATTTAATAACAAATTTAAGAAATTCCAATCACTGGTTTTTTATTTATGCCACCTTTTGTAATTCCTTGAGAACTGTACCACATGACATCAGACAAAGGTAAATAGCAAAAAAAAAAATTAGCACTAAGTTAGTGAGAAGGATTACGAGTTATGACACCTCCCTTTAAACATCAATTTTTGCTTTGAATTTGAAAGTTACTTGTATATATGCTTTAGATAAACACTGTTCATCAGGATCTTTAATAAAATACTTGCTTATTTTCTTTGTTGCAAGAAGTTCATTATTCTCGTGTAAATTGAAGATTAACTAACTTATCATAATGTTCATTAGGAATTTCAACTTGCCAGAGTTTAGCTTTGACATGCGTATTTTTTTTATTTACTTAAAATGCATAATTAAAGTTATCTCCCATAATGAGTCTATAAATTTCTTGTTCATGTTGACTGTTTGTGTAACTATCAGAATCAGCATCTGTAACTAGTTTTATTTTGTTTTCTATGACTCGATCAAGATTTTCTAGTATATATTTAAGAGATTCGATCCTGAAGTCGATACTTGCAACTTGTGGGAGTTGCCATTCACGATATATCTTCCCACATGTCCCAGAAATGATAATATTATATCCTCGTTTTCTTGCAAAATCAATATACAGTTCACATAAGTAGCAACATCTTTTGGATACTGCTATAAACGTCTTACTTTTATCTTCCTGATCTATCATGCTGGCCAATATATTCATTTCAGCATGTAAATAAACGGGTATTTCGATATTATCATTATCCAGCTTAAGTTCTGTCCCGTCATAATATAACCATTTTAGTCTTCTCACGATGTTTTCATTTTTCAAACATTCATCCATGAAACGCTCATAATCTACGTGATTATGAACAAAACTTTTGATAACATATTCCCATGAATATATGGGCTGAGTAGTTGTGATAATTGTGTTAATAGGCTCTATTATATGCAATTCGATATTAGAAAATAAGTTTTTGTACTTTACATTACTTGCATATTCCATTATATTTATCGCTGAAGCAACATAAGATCCCACCTTTCTGAGATGTTCTATAAAATTTTGAGGAATCTCACTTTTATCAATTTTATCGAGTTGTTCATAATAAGATTGACAAACAACAGAAATTTTGAACTTATCCACATCATTTAATTTCTTCGGATCAAATTCTATTAAATTAGTTGAAGCATATCTAATGAAAGATTTAATATACTCATCATCTGGATTATGAGTTAAATCTTTCTTAAGCTTATTGATTCTAGATCCAAGCTTATTAGAACAGTATGACAATATTTCAATAACTAGAGCTACATTACTTGCACATTCCATTGTATTTATCGCTAAAGCAACATAAGATCCCACCCTTCTGAGATGTTCTAAAAAATTTTTAGGAATCTCACTTTTTTTTTTTTATCAATTTTATCATTATCAATTTTATCGAGTTGTTGTTCATAATAAGATTGACAAACAACAGAAATTTTGAACTTATCCACATCATTTAATTTCTTCGGATCGAATTCTTTTAAATTAGCTGAAGCATATCTAATGAAAGATTTAATATACTCCTTATCTGGATTACGAGTTAAATCTTCCTTAAGCTTATTGATTCTAGATTCAAGCTTATTAGAACAGTATGACAATATTTCAATAGCTAGAGTATCCGAATTTGCTTTTGATTTTTTAGGGGAATCATTAAATATATTTCTCAGATATTCCCTGATTTTGTTGATATATACAACTTCTTCATCAAGCCAAGGACCAATCTTAGAAATGTAGGCTATACAACCATCGGAAATTTTCAATCTCACGGCAACTATGTCTTTATCTCGTGCAAATATTGTTGCTAAGCTACAAGATAATTTAGACAATTTGTAAGAAGACTCATTATCAACGACTTCGTCACTGAAGACAGGTTTGATACTCTGTGCAACACATATTTTACTGTACAATTCTTCCTCCGACATTTTGTATAAATCTCTCTGTCAACCAATTTTGATTTTATCACTTAATCAAAAGGAGTGATACGGAAAGTTGTGGAGTCAGTTGGTTAAATAAGTGGAGTACGGTCATGTGAAGTATTACAAAATGTGATTAACATATAACAAAAAACTATTGTATGTGACTGTGTCCGAATACTACTATAATTTGTCATATTTATTAAAGTTTGAAACACGTTTAAGATGAAAAAGAAATGATAAGCATAGTCTCTGGTTTCAGACTGGCTTAACCAGAAACCAGTTTGGAAAAAATTCTCTGTAATAAGATTTTAAACCAGTTTGACATGTCAGACCAGTTTCAATTTACCTAAAAAAAGAAATATTAGTTAAACCGGTCTTGGTTTCTTTAGGCCAAACCAGTTTGAAAGTTGAAACCGATTTTGAAGACCGGTCTTGGAGCATTAGATAAACATACCTGTATGGTATATTAAACAAATAGAAGAATCAGAAGAATCAGAATATGAAAGTGAAATAGAAGAATATGAACAGAAAAGTAAAAGAAGTTATATACAGTAAAGGAAATAGTAGAAGACTTTTTCACATGGTGGTTTTTGATTAGACTGCGCTTGATGAGGATCTCGGGTTAAAAGGAGCAGAAAGAATTGTAAAACAATCATTTACAATAGACTTTAATGGTCCTGTTGGCAAGAAAGGTTTGAGAGATACAAATGGGCTAAATTTAGAAATTGTATTACCAAGACTAGATCATCATTCTTGATATGTCGCTCTCCTTTATTTTCCTTAAACCAATGCTAGATTTTATTTCCAAGAAGGTTCACCGCTGAGCAATAAAATTATTATATCGAAAAAATAAGCATTTAAAATTTCGATTTCATTCTATAAGGCCATCTCGGAAATGCTCTGGAATAACTATGTGTGGACCTTCATAAGACGTACCTTATTTTCTTCACTTGGTCATGCTCTTGCTAATTATTAGGATCGTCTCTATGAAAGAATTTGATATATTCTCATGCTGACCTCCTTGCAACTTCGATTGCAAAACCATAATGATAATAAGGAATATCAAATTGCAATCCTCTCGGATGTTTTGACGTTCCGAGAAATCAGGCTTATGGCTTTCGAGGGTGGGCCTAAATATTTTGATATGATATGAATACCTCTCAGAATAGTTTTGGAGGAGCTTCCCATTAATCCCATATATGAGATTTGTATCATTGTATGTGTATCGTAATATCGTTCTGAAAGACAACCTATATTATTTTTGTGCTAGAATTTTCATATCAGAAATAATCCGATTTCGTCCACCACAGGTGAGACACCATTGGTGATAGACTTTTATCTTATTTAAATTCGTAGTCCATATATGGCCCTTGTTATATAGTATATTTCCATTATATAATCTGAAGTTGGAGCATTCACTATTTTTAATACGTGCCAGAGACTTTGTTGTCTCAATGTCATGATGATTACATCCAGGACACCATGTATTTTTGCCGATTTTGCGAAGCATTTATGATCGCCATAATAAAGACTGGCGGCCATTAGCTTTGATAATAAATCAAAACTTTTCTAACCATAACATCATGAAATTTTTAGATAGATCGGTTCACATGGATTAGCTCGGAAATATATGGAATTTCATACATTCCTACGCGGATTCACAGTGATCTACACCGAAAATACCACGTGTATTGTCACAAGGTATTTGAAAAATATTGGAACTAGATTTCCAATATTCGATGTGGATTTCCATATGGGTTTTAAGTGGAAAAAATTTGCTGATGAAATATTTTTCGGAAATAAATGAAATCATATTTAAATTAACGATATTTGAATCAATACCGTTACTTACTTTAGTTTCTAGATGCTATGTTTCCGTCATGTGGCTCAATGGCAATATATAAGAATTTAATAAATCAGTATTTTCCACCATTTTAAAGATATCATTTGTCCAATTATCTGGATCTGTGCAAGTCCCCATTTTAATACATGTTCCATATTTCATTTGTAAGTCACCTCTTTTAATAAGTGAAATTACCGATTTTTCAGATAACGAAGTAAAATCAAGTGTTTTAATAACTTTAATAACTTTTCAGGAGATTTAGCCATTAAATCTATACATAATTGTTGAATTATTTTATTGAAAACTTGTCAATATGTTAGTTCAAATTGTTGTCTATCCATCCGAGATTTGTTCTCAATTAAATATTTTTGTAAATAATCAACCATGAAGAAGCCGTTCATCGCTACATTAAGATTGATATTAAGTATTAAAATTTTTGACATTTTGACGTTATTTTACTTTTACCTTAAAATAATCTGAAAGATTTCCGGTGAAATATTTGATAATTTAACGTTAATATGAGCTAAGACATCATTATTCCTTTTGTTTTAAGCCAAAATTCTCCGTAAAAATGGAGAACGGTGATTTTAGGATAATCAAATGTGCAACGAAACAATCGAAACATCTTTACGTTAGGATCTTCAATGGTAATATCATAGTATGATATTCATCATCATCCAAAATTTCGATATAGTTTTGAATTAATTTTGAAAATTGAGTAGAAATTTCTTGAATTTGCTTTTAATGCTTTTAACGGAAGAGATAAAATAAAATAATATACATGTGAAACTAATTGTATAAAACATTTAACGATCCTAAAAAAACTTACTATATCAGTATATCTTACTATATTCAAACATATCCATAATCCTATTTTTAATTTACACGATCCCGACCCTAAAATCCGTGACGAAGGTTCTATTTTAATTATTTCGAATTTTTTTATTAACCGCTTGCAGAAAATATAAGTATTACAAGGGAGATTAATTCATACAACATTTTTCTTCAAAGGAAATCAAAACATTATATAAATATATTTACCTTTCAATTCCAAAATCATAAAGAAATCTTTCTGAATTGTTACAATCACGAATGGGTCTCTGCGATAATTCTGGGGACTTTAATAAATTCAAAACTTTCATCATATCTTCGTTGATCCTTAAAGCTTTTCTTCTTATTAAAAGAAAAAATTTTCAGAGACCTTCACAAATTCAAATAATACTTGGAAAATACTTCACTATTCTCCAATAATTCCGGATTTTTTTCTATTAATTAATGGAATTTTTTTATACCTCATTCCATCCTTATTGGTATTTACCTGAAAGTTCGTTCTCAAAATCCAAATTCTAAACCCAAAATGTCTCACATAATCCGGTTTCTAAAAGAAAAGGTTCGCATTTCTAATTTATACGTTCAACTTTTTCTATTATGTAATCTAATGATCGACAATTAACGCGGTTAACGCTATTAACGATTATAACCATTTATCATCACACTTGTAAATTTAGGACAATCATACTGTAATTTAGTTATGTTAAATATATAAAAAATACACTTTATTATAATTTATATAATAGAGAAATACATAATAGAAATGGTTTTATGAAAAAAATAAATAAATAAACTATAAATATGGTAGTAAATAGTAATTCCTCATTGATTTATATTTATCATCGATTTCAAAAATTATACTCCCAAGATTTTAGAGCTTTCTTATCTGCCTTAATCCAATCAAAATCTTTAAAGTCATACTTTTCAACGGGAGCATGGGTATACAAACTAACAATTCCCTGTGTTATATAAAGATTTATTACATCAAAATAACTTCTTTTAAGAACATTATTAATCCCCCAACTACTATATTGAATGGTTTGAAACAATAACGGATGTCTACCATTCCAATTATTAAGAAATAATCTTAAGGATTCTAATTCAAATGTATTAACAAAAGAGAATTTAAACTTAAATAAATTAGTTGGTGATGATTCATATAAAACTTTAAAAAAATAATTCCAATCAAATATAGTTTCATCATTATAAACATTAATATTTAATCCATCTAAATATTGACAATCAATTAATAACTTTTCTAATTCCGAAATATTCTCATTTCTAATTAGTATTTTAAGATATTGAATCTTTTTACATTTGTTATAAATAGATTGAATGAGTCTTTTATTATTATTTTCATCATGATATCCACCATTAATCGATACTTCAATAAGCTTACCCCCTGTATTTTCAATTAATGCTGATACTTTTTCGATTGGAATACAATCAGTTTTTAATACTTGTAAAAATGATAGGGATAATGTTTCTAAACAATCCCATGACAAATCATTTGAAAAACCTTTCACTTTTAATATTTTTAAATTTACAAAAGATGAAAGAATATTTGTGACAGGTGGTCTAGTTGTCTTAAAATATTGTATAGTATTTGCATGCTTAATCAACGAATTTTCAAGAGCTTTACGAAATGAATCATTATCATATTCTGCATAGTGCTTGGAATATAAACGAATATGATATAATTTATCTATGTTATCGATTAACTTAACGAATTCATAACTGTTGTTTTTCATCTCTATAACAAGTTCTAATCTTTTAATTGATTTAAATATTTCAGGTAATCCAATTATAACATTATCAGAGATGTTAGTATTACTACTGAAAAATTCAAGTTCTGAAAAGCTGTATTTGGCCCCAGGAATAGTATTTAATCGATTATTATATCGATTTTTTATATAAAGATGCATCACCCTTGTATTTTCATTGATAAAAAGACTCGTTACTTCTTTTTCAAATATCTCTTTTTTAATGTTTGGGAATGTAACAATATGATCAAAAGTATTAACCATTACATGTAAATCATATAAATTTAAAATTTTACAAAAACTAATGTAATTAAATAAAGGTTTATGATAAAAATTTGTCAAAAAATCAAAGCCTTGACTCTTTAAATTTTTTTTTGTCTCATCTGATAGATGTAAAGTAACCACCTTACAGAGTGACTTTCTTTCTTCCAAAAATTTCCAAGGGTTTTTCCATAAAATTGGAACAATGATTTCACACCAAGTTTTATTAACTCTAAGGCATGAAAAAAGTGATTTTTTATCATTTTGTAATTCTTTTAAAATTAAATAGAGAACATCTCCGTTTAATTGAGACATTTTTTTAAAAAAAAAATTGGCGTAAAATGATCGTTCAAATGACACATTATTTATATAATGCATGTCGTACAGGACTTTGATTACGCTATTTGTACTACATAATGAAAAACAAAAAACTTATTACCTTTAAACAGTAACTTTACCAGCGCTTTACCAGAATTACGGTTGATTCCGGCCAATTTATCCGGCACTATTGTAAAATTTGATGATCAGTTTGAGAAATTTTGTTTCTCGAATATATAGCATAATTTTTTTACAACATACCAATTTGTTTCCCGCAATTCATTCAAAAAAATGTGACCTATCACGCGTACAAATATAAACACTTTTATACGAATGTAAACGACAATTTAAAAATATATATATATAATATTATCAAACATTAAATATAGATTGTCTAAACATTTCTGAATACGGACATGTAATTGTGTCGATCTTGTATTGTTGTGCAAAATTTTTAGCCATCCACTCATTTTATCCGTTTAATTTTTTTTTTTTCCCATCTAACATATAAAATGCCTACACAATTTTTTTCGAAATTAAGTCATAATTTTATAGAATTATTGAAAGATAATGAATTTTATGATATTACAATTGAAGTAAATAAAGATCCTAACGTAAAAATATTTCGTGCTCATACAGGCATTTTATGTTATCGTTCTCCATATTTAAAAAGATATTTAACTTCAAATAAAAAGAATAATAATGTCTTGGCTCATGTTAAATTACCAAATATTTTACCGGAAACCTTTCAAATCATTTTAAAGTAAGTATATATACTGTATGTAATTAATTTAATTATAATGTATATAATTATCAATACAAAATAATAATCTTTGTTCAATTTTTAATTTTTTGTTAACAGATATATTTATGGTGGCATTTTTTCTTTGGATGGAAAAGATACCTTGGATATTTTTAGAGTATTAGCCGCTGCTGATGAGCTTCTTCTTCAAGAATTAGTTGATTATTTACAAAATTATTTTATTGAAAACAAAATTGAATGGATGAAACAAAACTTTGAACTTACTCATCGAATAAGTTTTCAATCTAATAGTTTGTCAGAAATTCAAAAATTATGTACAAATTTCATGGTTAAATCTCCTGAAAAAATATTTAAATCATTGGATTTTACTTCGTTACCCGAAAAATCATTAGTTTCACTTATTAAAAGAGATGATTTACAAATGAAAGAAATTGAAGTTTGGAATCATGTGTTAAAATGGGGTCTCGCACAAAATCAGAATCTCATTTCAGATCCTGATACTTGGACAGGTGATGATTTCAAAATGATGAAAAATACTCTACAAAATTGTATACCTTTAATCAGATTTTTTAGTTTATCATCCAAAGAATTTTTACATAAAGTGAGTCCATATAAAAAACTTTTAAATCATCAAATTTACAAAGATTTGTTGGGTTCTTATATGGATCCTGATAGTGAACCAAATTCTAATAATAGTTCACTTCCTAGAGATCTAAAAATTGACGAAATTATTGATTCAAAGATTATTAACTTAAATATCGCTTCAATTATTTCAAGATGGATTGATAAAGTTGATATTAATAACAAATTTGCGTATCTTAGAGAATTATATTTGCCGTACAATTTTAAGTTATTGTTAAGAGGGAGCCAAAATGGATTTTCTCCTAAAAAATTTCACGAATTATGCAATGATAAGCCTAATACCGTTACTTTTATTAAAGTAACAGGAACTGGAGAAATTCTAGGTGGATATAATCCTTCAATATGGAAATCGTCTGGTAATTGGGGTCAATCTTATTATAGTTTTATATTTTCTTTTAAGAATAAAAATGAATTTGATAAGTTAATTTTAAGTCATGTAAAAAATATGGATAAAGCATTATATTATCCTGGTTGGCATGGTCCCTCTTTTGGTTCTTCCGACCTCCAATTATCAGTTAGTATTGGAGGAAATAAGTCAAATAATTTTGATTATAATATATGTAAACAGACTTATTATGAAAAAAGGATAAGAAATACTGAAAACTTATTTTATATAGAAGAGTACGAAGTATTTCAAATTATAAGAAATTAATTAATAGCGATAGGAATATAGGATGACATTTTTGTATCATACCGTATATTGATTATTTTTTATTTTTATTCAATTAAAAGAAAAGTAACATTATGCAATATTATTTGTTATTCCATTTATTGTTCTAATTTGTGATAGTATAATATAATTTTTTAAACATCACAGAATTTAAAACGAATGTAAAATCTGGATATCACTCTAATGGTGATGCAGACCGACGTTACAATATTTTTAGTCATCATTACCGATCACATGCACTCGAGTCAAAACATTCTTGACTCGAGAGGTTGGAACGATCATAAAAACCTTAACCGAATAATAAATCGATTCACCAAGAGCTCTAACTGATTAATGCATTAATTAATATTAAAAAATTATTATTATTATTTTTTGGTTGCAAATGCACCAATTTGTTTTCACTCATAGGGAAGTCATTTTTTTACGTTCGAGCTTGAGTACACATGATCAATATTTCACATACCAGACAATTTGACCAGAATTTGGTTTGGATTTAATCAATCAATTAACCGATTTTTGAAATATCTAATTCTTAACCGGTTAATTAATCGATTAACGTTAATCTTTCTTTATTTATACAATATTAATACATAGTGATATTCGATATACTAGAAATCCAGACCCTTAATGTTAACCGACCACAAGTAAAACCGAATTGAAGTCTGAAACGAATTATTATATCCGTGTTTTAAATAAATCGAGCAATTTTATCAATGGAACGATTTTTAGTAATCATTTTGCCTAAATTGTGCACTTTTTTATGTTTTCTTATTAATTTTAATATTCTTAATTTTATTAATTTTCAATTTTTCAATGCCTACTTTTAACAAATCGTATGAGGACTAAGTTTTAATAAATCAAAATTTTCTTTGGACTTTCTTAACTTTCTGTTGGTGTTCAAATACAACAAATCCACAATAGAATTTCGGTTAATTTCAGTCAGCATTATAAGATAATTACTCAGTTACCTTCGCCTCTACTGATTGAATTTGTATTTTTTTAGTTTTTCTGAATAATAGCGCGTCAATAATTATCTAATGAAGATATTACGTTTCAAAGTCCAAAATTTTTGAGCGTATGAATGCGCGATTCAATTGTGGTTCAACTCATTAGTTTTTTGTGAAATTTTTAATTACTTTCTACATAAATGTCAGTAGTTGTTATTAAAAAATTTGGTCCATTATTAATCATGATATTTATGCAAAAAGATAAATATATTATAAAAAAATAATACTTAAAATATCACAAACTTTTTCATTTACGATAATGAAACTCGTACAATAGTATAAACTGTAAAATTGATGATAAAAACAGAATCTAAGTTTTACCAGTTGAACAACGCAAACTAAGAAAAGAGCGAAAATCAGGTTTCCAACATAAAAAAAAAGTTATATCCATCTAGAAAAATTAAAGTCAAGTCGAACGAATTATTTAAAGAATTAAATTAATCTTTTTTTCATAAATTTAGATAATACTCACTTATAATACTAATAAATCATGATAATTAACATTATCCTTCTCGAGTGTAGGTAGTACCTCTGCAGAAGGCTAGTAGTCATGTCCAGCATACCCTACAGAATTTACAAAATTTTTAGTAACTATCACCTCATACCATATGAGGTTTACCACCCTGTTAATTATGTCTAAGCAGGGAACCCCCAGGACACCTATGTGGCCATCATAGGATCTATGGCAAATGGTCTCATATAGTATCAATAACAACAACTAAGTGAGTTGACATAGAAATATGTGTCACTTCCACGGGCACCACGGCCTGCCCTCCCATATGGATCGGCTTGGGGATCACCTATGTGGCATCATTGTAGCTACGACTTGTGCACAAAGCAGATGACTACGTAGCCAGTAGCAAATGGTACGTACTACGAGCACATAAACCTCTATGTCAATTATAACAGCCCACCATCCGGAATACTTTCAGTGAACCCTCCTGCGGTGAACAAGTACTCGTACGTCCATCCGGCAAACTATTATTTATACTCACCTCTTAATGTATGTTCCGCTTTGAAAATATAGAGGGAGTTTTGTGCGAAAGTTTACTTTCGGTGAGAAACAAGAGTTGAAGATTTTTGTTTATAAAATAGTTTAAGAGGATTTTTTTTTAGTAGGAGAGAATAATAAAGTTTCCTTTCACATATTTCCTACTTCTATCGTAAAAATGTTGGTGGACCTCCTGGGCGAAAATATAGTAGAGTATTTGGGTAGAATATTTGGGTTATCTCAAGTAGTTGGTTCGGTAGAGAAATTTAGAATAAAAAAAAAAAAAAGAGGTAATGTCTTTTTATATATTTTTTTGTAGTACAAACTTTTTTATAAATTATGTAATGGAAATTATTTTAATCATCAATCTATCTAAATATATCAATAATAGTCGCGTATTTCTATATTAAATTGTCGCGTATGTCGCGTAACTTTTTACCGTGTTCCCATAGTTCCCACAATAAAAATGTCGCATAACTTTAACTAATTTTGTAAGTTAAATTAATAAATACAGTCAAACTCCGATATAAATGATATGTAACCCATATGAAAATCATTTGAAAAAGTCCGATATATCAAATTATACCGATATTTACTCTCATATAGTGGGAAAGTAAAATTTAATATATACTGTATATCGGTATATCGAATATCGAATACCAGGTCTTGACTGTATTAATAACATTTCCATTTATTTCTGGTTAACAGTACTATTATTTTTTAAAAAAAATTCTTAATTAAACATATACAAATTATTTAATTTAAATAGGTATCTTTATAGGACGTGTTGACATAGCTAAAAAAAAGTTTCAATATTACCAATCGTTCCTATCTTGTTATTACAAAGCAATATTATATATATATTGTTTATCATTACTGCAAAAAACACTTGAAAAAGTAATAATTGGGTGTCGGAGAATTATCACTCAAAATCCGATCTGAGTCGTGCAAATTTAAAACCCTTATATGGAAGGTTGGAGGGTCAAATTCTAAATATAGATTTAAACTTTTTCAACTCTTCCATTTTCCTTTCCTAAAATTCTTCAATTATATACTACAATATGTCTTTTTTCAGTTGGTACAAAAATCATTTATTCCGAAGACCAATTCTAATACAAACCATTACTACTGGTAAATTTGAAAAATGTTTGTTTGCTTAATGAAATACATAATTTAATATTATAAATTTGAATTTATTCAGGAACATTATTTGCTGCAGGAGATATTATAGCACAACAAATTGTTGAACAAAGAGGGTTAAAATCTCATAATTTTTATAGAACTTTAAGACTTGGAGGATTTGGTTTATGTATAGCTGTAAGCATTATTATTTAAAAGATGAAAATTTTTATTTCTAAAAATTTTTTGTAATAAATTAAATAAGGGTCCATCCACGGCTATCTGGTATCGTACTTTAGACCGGGTTATTACAATTAAAAATCCCATGTTAGGTAATATATATACCCTTACATTATTAAGATTAATTATTTTATTCCTAACTTATTTATTTATTATGTTTTCTTTTTCTATAAAGGACTATTAACGCGTGTCACTTTAGATCAAGCTATATTCGCACCATGTTTTATTACAACATTTTTCGTGGGTCAGGCATTATTAGAAGGTCAAGAAAACTCTCAAATTTTAGAAAAGCTTGGAGATGTAAATATAAAATCCTCTCAGAATATTTATCTTAAAGATATTGTTTTACTTAAGTTAATATTAATATTTTTTTACCTTCTCAATATACACAGACTTTAGTACCTACTTTAATTAATAATTATAAATTGTGGCCGGCTGTACAATTGCTCAATTTTCATTTTATTCCATTGAATTATAGGACTTTAGTTGTTAATTGTGTTGCACTTGGCTGGAATACTTATTTATCTGTTATCAATAAGAAAAGTTCCGACAAAGTGAGTGTTAAATAGGAAACGAAATAAATGGAATTGATTACTAGTGATAAAGAATTTTGTTATAAATAAAATTATTAAAACTTTCGTTGACAGCCTAATAAAATGATGGGATTTCTTCGAACGTATTTATTCACGTCTTACAACTATCAGTTTCTCTTTTTAATAATGGTTTCTATCAAAGATTTGCGCTTTCCAAAAGAACTTATAAGAATATTTCATTTAATGATAAAATATGTTACAGGGTTTTTATATTTTACATTCTTATTTTCAATTTATATACGCAAACATAAATTTGTAATTTCATTTATTGTCTAGCACTGATTTGTCCGATTTATATACCGGAATCAAGTGCTAATTTGCTAGCATGGTCTTACTCAACGGTAGTAACTTTTTTTAAGAAGCGAGGTATTGAAAATTCATAATATTACCAGCGTGAGACTTCTACACAGAGTATATCACTTGCAAAAGTATACGGTTTTTCATCCAAGACTTCGGACGCTATATAAAATTTGAATCATGCTTCGATAATTTAAATTCGGCAAAAATAATGTAATAATTATTCATTATTGATATACTTCCGTTTATACTATATGGAGAACCTAAATATACTCGATCCCGTTTCGTGGAATAAAAATCATACATACACGCCTATTTGACAAAGAAAGATCCAATGAAAAGTTATTCACAAATTCACAAATCAAAATTCATACAACTCAGTTTACAGCTTTAAATATTTTATATATTTAATATAATTTGACTTTCTACAAATACAATTTTAATAATTATAATACACTAATGAAAAAAATAAATTATTATGTTTTTAATGTTGGTTCAGATTCATTACTACTACTTCCTTTTGTCATACTATCAGGACGTTGTTCGGTAATATTTGGTTCATAAGTATAATCTTCAATACTATTAACAACATCATTCCAAAAATTTTGAAGAGCGACTTTATCGTTACAGAAATTTTGAAATTCTTTTAATAATTGATCAGGATTAGGTGAAGTATTCTTATTAGAAATATTATGAGTATTATATATTCTGTTATTAACCCATAAAAAGCCTTCCCCAGGATCACAAATTTGTATAAACGCAACACCAGATCTATGAATATATTGAGAATATTTATAAGGAGTTTTATGATAAGAATAAATTATTTCAACTTCTTTTGGAAATCTGTCATCAGCCTCAACATCTAATACAAATTTAAAATGTTTAACTAATTCAATTTCAAAATATAATTTATGATTAATTTCAGGATTCAATTTTTTCCCTAATTTTTCTAATTCTTCTAATATTGGAGGTAATACTGATAATTTTATTGATGTTGGAGATTGAAATGGATTATTATTAGTTAAACTCATGGCTTGTTCAACAGGTGCTTCGACTAATTTTAATCCATATGTCTTAGCGTTCCTATTCCATAATTGTAATAATTCTTCAATTAATCTCGCTGTACACGCAAGCCAATTTAATTGGAAATGATAACAAGCATCAACGTTATAAATAACATCATAATGTAATATTGCTGTTTCTTTTCTATCACTTTTTTTATTTGGGTCAATATCAATATGAATAGCTTTCGTAAATTCAATTCTTGTTGGTTTTGTTGGTATTTCTTCGATTTTTTCAGAATCTTTTTTCGGCTTTCTTCTAAGCCATTCTTTAATGGTTCTTCTAGGAGCGAATTCTTCTTTAATTTGATAAAAATAATATCCATCCAAAAATCGATGTCTTTTCTGACAATGCTCAAATAATCCTCTATCTAATAATTCATTTCCAAATGCAACAGCACTAGCTCTAGTGTCAATATCATGAAATCTACTTATTAACCAATCAACAAATTCATTTCCAACAATTGAATTTTGGTAAGTTTTAAAATGCCATTGACGATCCTTGATGATTCCAGTCGTATTATTTTTCATTGCTTGATAAATTTTATCAAGTTTAGTATCTTTTGTAAGTTTTTCATCTACTGGATGTACGGAACTTCTTCTTGGGTATAATCCTTCGGGAGTTATAACAAAAATTGATAAATCATCTGTTGTAGGCCTTAAATGTGGAGATGAAGTTTCCATTCTTTTATTATTACCAGCATCGCCACTTTCATCTGGTGGTATCCAAATGGATTTATCAAAAAGTTCAAGAAATTTATAAATTCCGTTTAATCGAACTTCTTCTTCTTCAAATAATTCATTCCCATGTTTTAATAAACCAGCAGAAATATTTTCCATTGGGATTAAAATAAATCTTGTTCTCCAAAATTTCAAATGTTCATAAAGATCAACTTGATATCCACAAATTAATTGATCTACATAATTCCAATTATAATCAATATGTGGATAAGTAAAATTAACAGTTCTAGTCTCATAAGTTTCTTGACATTTAGGCCAAACAGCGCAAATATATGGAATTGGATCTGGTTTATATTGTATTTTTCGAACATATCTTTTAACTTCAACACTTTTGACTTCAACAAGTTGTCCTGAAGGATCGTAAGTTAATTTATGAACATGACGTCCCATACTAAGATAATATTGCTTAGAAGTTAATAAAGATGAAGAATAATCTTCCCAATTATGTGATTTAATTTCATTTAAAACGACTAATTGATATCCTTGAGCTAATCGTTGAGATATCATTTCTTTCAATAAAGTTTCAGTTTTAACTTCTTCTGATACACCCTCATTTTCTTGATTCATTATGAAAGACTCAGAATCAATAGAAATCGTATAAGTGTATTCTTGATAAGCCCCAGGCTCGTCAATTGGAGAAAGATAGTCAGTTGTTAAAGGAAGACAAGCGGGAGTACATAAAGCAGGCCATTTCATTGAATTTATTGATAATGGTCTTGGAAAAACATGTCCCCATCTACGAAGATGTGTACTCATTCCATAACGATTATGAGATTTTGAAGGATTACAAGGGTTAACTAAAGGTGGGCGATAATTTGGAGGAATATAACTAATAGTAGGAGGAGGTGGTGGAGGTGGAGGTGGTGGTGGTGGTGGATTTGAATGATTACTTGGACGTGGTATATGTTTAATAAAATAAGATCCTTCAGGATAACTTTCTCTTCTTGGAGATAGAGAGGTACGATTTCTTTGGTGGTGGTGATGATTTGAAGATTTTATTGATATGGGATCAACCGTACTTGAAGTTACAACAACATCATCGTCATCGGTAAATTCATTATTCTTAGAATGCCCATCTTGATAACTATCATGTGAAGTTTGTGAATAAGATCTATTAATCATTGTAGAATGTAAAGAACTTTCTCCTATTAAATGGTCAGGTTTGAAAATATTTCCTTGGCGATTTGAAATAGGGGAATCATAATTATGCATACGAAAAGATGGTGGCGATGTGTCATGTAAACGATTTAAAGAATCATGACTTTTTTGTTGTAAAAGAGGAACATTTTGTTTAGATGTATTAAAAACATTATCGTCATATTCATCAGATTGAGGATTATCATCAAGATGAGGAATGATAATATAAGAAATTTCATGTTCCATAATTCCCATCATTTGAATTTCATACATTTTACATCTTGTAATAAATTTATCGAGTTTAAAAGGTTTATCTTGATGTCTAGAATAAAAATTACAGTCAACCCAATCAGGAGTTTTGTGATAAAAATAATTTGAATCATCATTTGGATCATCATCATAATCTAAAGGATCTCTCAGCTCCAATTTTGAATCTTTTGATTGAGACGAAAATTTACTTGCAAATCTACTTGTATTTTTATTCCACCAATCAGGTAAAGGAGCTTTTGATAATTCTTGTGAATTAAATTTAAATAAAGGGACTGTATGTAGAGGGATTCTTGAAAGACAAACGAGATCTAATCCAATTCCATTATCGATCATTCGTTCAGCTGTTAATCTTAAAAGTTTTTTATCAACTTCAAATCTGCAACATCCAGGAGTTACTATAATAATTGATAATCCTGTACGTAATAAATCTCTATCTACATAATGCCTATCAAATGGATTTAATGCTAAATTAATAGCTTCTAATATATTCCCTTCAAAAGCGTAAGAATTTTTTCCCAATAATATTTTATAAATTTCACCGTTTTGTTTTTTTTTCTCCCTCAATAATATATTTAGTTGATATTGCGTAAGTTCTTCTTTAAGTAGTTTAAGTGCAGAACTCCAATCGCTTCTTGTTTCCCAATCAACAATAACTTTATAAAAATCCTTATACCATCTTCTTTTAATTTGTCTAAGTGATTCGTCTTCATTTACTAATCCATTAATTAAAACTTCTCCTTCATCATAATAAACTCTTGAAAACAATACTATGGATACTACGTGATTTGTAGATAAATCTTTCCAACGTTGAAATAATTCTGTAAAAAATCCGTCAATAGCTTTCTCGTAATATAATTCCCCATCTTCATCAAATTCCCACATTTCTCTTGACATTTGTACAAATATAAATAATTTTGCTGATTCTGATCTAAATATCGGCTTTGTATTTCCTGTTACATATCCGCATAAGGCTTGTTCTCCTTTAACAAATATTTTTTTCACTTGTGCTCTTATGCAATCTGCAAAATTTAAATTTTGTTTCGTATAAATACATGTACCAATAAGACTTCTACTCAATCTCCACATGTCACTTCTACCAATATACTGATCTTTAAATGTAAATTCTATATAATCTGCTGCAACTAATTCCACATCGACCTGAAAAAGGTAAGATGGATGAGATAACGTTATTTAAATTTAATTTATAAATATAATTAATTGTTTAAATACAATTATTAAAATTAATTATTTACCTCTCTTACAAATACATTAGACTTATTTTTAAATTTGAATGTATTCGCAATATTACTTGATACTGAAATCTAAAAGAATAAAAACAAAATAAATGATTAATAGAAAATTATTAAAAAAAATAAATAAATTTTGTATGTAATATATACATATATGTATATATATATATATATATATAGGAAAAAAGATATTTTAATCAAATTATATAAATATATTATTAAATTATTAATTACCTGTAAAATAGGTTTTTCTTTACCAATATGTTCTTTATCCAAAGAATTAACTTTAATAATTAAATGTCTTGTAACATCGGATTTTTCATTAGAATTATAAATTTCTAATGTTTGACCCAATTTTATACCAGGAAAAAAATCCGGATTTAATATAAAATCTTGTTTAGAAAATGAATCATTATGTACCCATAAATTTAACATCTTATGTTTTGGTGTTATTGTGTTTGTCGTATTAGATGAGGAATACGATGAAGGCGGTGGTGGTGTTGGTATTGGTGTCGGTGGTTTATTTTGAATAGAATGTATTGCGATGTCTGAATCCATTTTTTTTTTTTTAGTTCAAACTTAAAATGTACTATTATAAATAAAAAAATAAGCAAGAGTAAAAGACAAATTTAAATTAGTTAACTAAAAATGTGCAAATTGACTTATCAATTGCAAATAATTTATTAAAATTACATAATAAAACGATAAAAAGTGAAAAGTGAGAAAAACTTGACGAAAACAATATTTTTATTTATTTATAGACGCATGTGTTCCACAACAAAAAAAACTATGATGATCACAAGATTTCAGCTGACCGCCGATTTTATCAAAATCCAATAAAAATATACATAAAAATGCTATCCCGGAAATGCATCTCCGGACTCATCAAAACTACTTTTTAGAATCAAACTATATTGAAAAATTCTTTATTAACACCTTTTTTCTTTTTATATTCATACATATATAAAAAAAAACTGTATGTGAAGAAACTGCGCAGCTTATTACTTTTTTCAATTTTATCTATATAACCCAACATCACTTTTCATATTATTATTAAAATGTGCGTAAAAAAATGTGTGTTAAATCTGACGTCGAATAATCTTGATAACTTATATAATGGAATAATGTCTATACACGAGTGGTCACGTGACCAAATTTGAAATAGTTCCGATCTTTATACATATGTATATGTATTTTTCTCCTATAAAGATATTTGATATTTAAATAAAAAAAATCGTTTTGATTATTAGACATGCAGAATTTTTCATTTTTAACTAAAATTTCTTATCTATGGAATTTATAATAAATCATACCTTAAAAAAATAGAATGATCTTAACTAATCTTGTTATTTGACTTTTAACAAGATATTTAGCAAAGCCATTGTCCCAAATCCAACTTTATTTTGCGTGAATTAGTAATTGAAAAATTGCAAATAAAAGCGGTAAATTAAGAGACTCACCGTTAAAAACCAAAACAGAAATCAAGATTATGGTCCAATCATAACCCTTTTGAATGCATCTGGTTTTGTAGCTAAGGAATAATTGAAAATATTCCGAGTTAATGATAAAACATTTGATAAAGAGAAATTATTATAATAATATTTCCTAAACAATTATCGTACCATATTTTGAATAAGAAGTTTTATATGCCGTAATTTTTGCATAATTTGCTAAAATGAATTAATTAAAAAATTATTAATTTCTTTTTTCATTAAAAAATACACACACACATATATATACATATATATATTCTTTTTTTTCAATATAAGCAAAATCAATAATTTACTTTTGATAAATTTACTGTTAGCGTAAGGGTGATGCCTTTTTGGAAGTATAGAGGAAATATATTTTTTTGGACGATCAGGTTTTAAGAAATGCCAAAGAATATCTTCATATAATTCATCAGGAAATATTTTTCTGTAAGGGGAAACTTTTGTATCAAAATCCTCCAAAGACATATTAAAAAATCGGATTACAGGTAAAAATTTTGATAAAGTTTTTTTCAAATTATTAAAATCCTCATTTGTATATTCATTAAGATCGTCAGGTAAGTCTGCATGTTGCATAATTCCCCAAGTAAGTATATGATACCAAATATCTGATTCTTCCATTTGTAATTCATCTTTTTTAATTATATACAAAAGAATTGATTCATCCAAATGATAAAAATTAGGAGTCTCAAATAACATCCAGGGATTTTTACATATAGTTGATACACAACAATTTTGTAATTCTTTCCAAGATTCATGTTGAAACGCTGCATTTAACGTTTCTAACGGATGTTCTTTTATCCATGATGCTTGATTTATTGCAAGATATTTTTGAACATGATCAGAAAGTACCGGAAGAATTAATTCATCAGATGCTGACAAAAGCCCAAGTAAATGTTGAACATCTTTGTTATCCAATTTTAATTCACTGGAATATATGAACCTAAAAAAAAAGATAAAAAAAAAAATTTTTTATTTTAAATTAAATCTTTTTTTATTTTTATTTTTTTATTTTATTTTTTTATTTATTATTTTTTTTTTTTAAAAAAAAAAAATAAATAAATAAATAAATAAATAAATAATAAAATTCTTCGTTTTTTCATTTGTTATTTACTTGAGAATATCTTCAAATATCGCTGGTGTAACATTTGGTTTAGACAAAACTATTTTATCACCCTTCTTTTTTCCCCACTGGGCTGAAAAAGCAGTGTGAAAGTATGGTGTTTGAGTTCGTAATATTAATGAGTGTACATTAAATGTTTTTATATCATCTCCACTTCCGACAGTAATAGATACATCACAAGAATCTTCTTCTTCAAGAAGTTTAGCATAATTTTTAGCTACACTTTGCCATAATTTTGCATTCAATCTCATTATGAAAAAATTTTTTTTTACAAAGGAAAAGAATTGCTTGGAAACAAAAAGAAAAAAATGAAAAAAAAATTTGTTACCATGTACAATAAACAAATCCAACCCATTTTACTAGTGTAATCAAGATAAGATCATGTTATGTGACACGACATAAGCCATGAACTTAATTTAACTATAAGAATAGTAAATAGTTTTTTTTTTTATATAGAAGAAATAAATAATAAACGATTCCAGTCGTACTAAAGAATTATAACCGTTTTTTTCCGACCTGAAATTTGATTTGTAATTCTTCACGTGTAATAAGTTCCGGACGGGTTCGGATCAACAATTCACGATCCTCAATAAATTACTATGAAAAATAGATAAGTCAATAACTAAATATATCCTTTACGCCCTATGTATAGAATAGGTTAATTTTCATCCTCTTATGAATTGAATATTTATGGATATATTAAAGAATCAATGTTCCATCGAAATTGGAAAATTCACTCGGGGACGGAAAAATATTTTTTATTTTTTTTACTAAAATTGGTAAAATCGTCAAAATCCGGTTGATATAAAAAAAAAAATTTTTTTTTTTTTAAAAAAAACCTTACGATTATTCTCTCTCCCATTTATGGCTGGTTTTTCCCGAGTAAATTATCATCCCTTAATAAATATCAACGATTGCAGTAAGAAAACAAAATCAATTTAATTTAGAAATTCTTAATCTTTTTATAAAGATGATTACAAATTATTTAGTCGAATCTTTACCGATATTTGGTTAACTTACGGGAATTTTCCAACGAATCTTTTTAGCAGTAAACATTTTTTTTATAAGGGGTTAGCCCTTTACCAATAATTTTTTATTTGTACGACTAAGTAAAGGAAATCCCAACATTGCACAAAATTCGCCACTCATGTCACACTCTCCGCATTTTATGGAGACGGAGAACTGGGAGTAGTAGTGAATTCTATTTGTCACCCATCCCTATTCATCACTATAAATTAATATGCAGTGTAACCCTTAGTGGAATGGCATGATTGATTGTATTCGCCCCCCCAAGGTACTCCCCAAGTAATTTATGTATGTGTCGATTAAATTCTAAATAAATACAACAAATTATTTATATTTTGTACTCAATTCTTTATAGACCTCGACCATTCCGCTCCATACCACTACTATAAAAATTTTCGTTAGTGGATTTTTTCTTCACCACCCAACTTGCAAATAGTTACATTTTTTAATAGAAAATTCGGCAATAAAAAATTTCAAGGATTTCCTGGCGAAGTTTTCCCGCCTGATCTCTCTCTCTTTTTCTTTTACCGGATCCAAATGCGAAAATTTGTGAATTCAGTTGTACGATGGCGCAGTAAGAATAAACAGAAAACAAAGCAATACATTGACGTTTTCACAAATATACCACATGAGATAATATTAATAATAATTGAATATTTGGATTATGATGCTCATGATGTTGCTGCTTTGTCTAGGGTAAGTGATCGAAAAAAAAAATATTTCAAAAGATGTTTTTTTTTATAATAAATATTATTGTATAAAAATATATATGTGTATATACATATACATATACATATTTTTTGATATAAATAGGTAAATAGAAAATTGAGATATCATACGAAAGATAATTTTTTATGGTATAAAATATGTTTAGAATATTTTCCTGCCGACTTACCTAATAAATTACAAACAAAAGATTGGATGAAAAAATTTAAAGAATTATGTAAGTATTATACGAACTTTATTTAACTTATTTAACTTATTTATAATTCAATTTCTTCAATTTGCTTTTTATTTTAACTTTTGATTTTAATTTTATTTTTTCGTTAGATTGGAACCGCCATAAAATTATATTCGCTGAAAAAATTGAATCAACTAAATTAATAACTTACGGATGGAGACCAAAATCTGGTCAATTCTCAGACATAAAAATGTAATCCTTGGTTTTTTTTTTTTGTCATTTTTTATCATTTAAAAGATTTTATTTTACAAATTTTAAATTTTTTTTAGTGACCGTAAACACCCCAATATAGTAAGGGCAATTCAAGAATCGTTTGATGTATGTTTTCTTTTTAATTTTTGTTAGAAATATAAAAAAAATGAATAGTGTGCTAATTATTATTATTGATTTTTTTTTATATATATAGATGGATATTAGGTTTGAATCTATTTCACCAGGAATTTATGAAATTTTATGGGAAATGAATATTTATAATTTACTGAGAGCTCAAAGATTTCAATTTATAACAAAAATTTTTCACAATGTAATAATTAATTATTATATATTTTACTATCATTTTTTACTTAAATCACAATTCTTCAATTCTAATCTCTTAATTTTGTTACATTGCAGAATTGTGATTTTACTACCATAAAAGAATATTCAGACACTCCATCACCGGAAGCTTTTAAAATAATATCTGATAGAGGATGGTTCACATATAGAATACCTAAAAGAATTACAATTGGACAAAATCAAATTATATCTGCCAAATTTATTGGACATGCTAAAATGTGTTGTAGTAATCCACAAGATTGGCCTGCCCCAATGGTTAGTATTGTTTTAATTAACGTTGAAGTTATTTTTAAGTTGTAACATGTTATATTTATCAATAATTTTTTTTTATATCTTTTAGGCATTATATTGTGTATATTTGAAAAGATATAAAAATAAAAATGAAACAAAATGTAAAAAAAGACGATATAAAAATCATTTTATCAATAGATTATTAAATAGATAATTATAAATTTTATAATATAGATTTTAAGTTCGAAAAATATAGAGGTTTTTAAAAATTTAAAAAAATATTACATTCTTTTAAGATTAGAGAGATTAAGAAAAAAGATTTTTTTCTAAAAAAAAAAAATAAAACTTTTAGGATATAAATTATTAAGTTAGATATAAGTTTAAGTTATATGCGTATTTACTTAATTATAGGTATTAAAAAAAAGAAAAGATTCTATCATTCTATCATAATAATCTATTTAACCCCGGCATTAACCAAATATTACCATTTATAAACAAATAATAAAAAAATAAATAAATAAATAAAATATACATGTTAAATAAAATTAAATTACAATATACTCTATAATTAATGTAAATACTCTATAAATTTTTTTAATAACTAAATATTTTAGTTAATCTTTTAATACTTTTTGACAATGTTTGATTATTTTTTGAAGAATCTAAGCCGTCATTTGTACATCTTTGTAAATGTACGCAATATAATTCCTATGATGCAAAAAAAAGAAGATAATAATTAATAAACAAATCTTTTCTTTATTAATTATAATTTTTACACAAAGTTCAAACTTACTAATGATTCAAACCATAAAGAACCTTCATTTTCTTCGAGTGTAGTATATCTTCTAAATTCAGTTTTAACATGTTGTTCATGTTCTATTACAATTTTATTTGGTACCTTAAAATTACACCATCCTTTATTTGACATTCCTTTAAATTCTTCAGGTTTTGGTTTATATGAATATGTTTTTAGAATTTTATTCCAATTCTGTAATACATTTTAAAAAAGGATTTAGTAAAAAGTAATGAAAATTTTGATAATTTTAAATAATTTAATGGAATTAAACTTACATGATCTACTATTTTAGTATTAAATTTAAAATTACAACCTTCGTGAATTTTACCAATTTTCATTTCCCAAATTAATTCATAGGTTCCTGGATAAATTGATACAAAAACTGCAAACAACTATTATATAAATAATAAAGTGGTTGAAATTAGCAAGGTTGATACAGAAATTTTGGATAGTTATTCCCACTCCCATGTAAAATCTTCTTTACCTCAAAGAACTTATAATTTGTCTTTATTGTTTTTGGATGATTTTTATCGCTATAAAAAATAATAAAAAAAATAAATATAAATGGAATTAAAAAAAAATTAAATTCGGTTGGTTAAAATATATTATTTACCTGGTTGATTCGTACCAACGATGTGGAATAGCAAAATTTTCTTTCTCAGTAAAAACATATGTATAATTTTTCCGATCTAAAATAATAATAATTAATAATAATAAAGGAAAAATTATAAAAACAAAAGTATTTAAATATTCTTTAAAAAATTATTGATATTTTACCAAATTCTTTCCAAATATCTAACCATTTATAATTATGTATAAGGGGAGTTCTCCTTTTATCTTTAACAATATTCATCATATTTACAGGATACTCTCGTAAACAAACTTCTAACCAAAGTAAATTATCCTGTGTATGATATCTCAACTTTTTATTTACCTAAAAATTTTAAAATTTTCAAAAAATTATTTTTCAAAAAAAAAAAAAAAAATATTTATAAAAACTTTTTAAAAAAAAAACTCTTTATTAAAAAAAAGTAATAAATTACGTACCATTGATAAATTTAATAATGAAATACCATCAAGAAAATTCATAATAATTAACATAATTTCATGAGGAATTTTCATAAAATTTTCCAATTTTTGAATTTTTTCATTTTCTTTACTGCGCCATGATTGTCTTTTAACGAATTTTTCCATGTCTTAAATTATTTAAAATGTAATCAAAATATTAAATTTCCGAATGGAAATTATTTTTATTTAAAATATGAAAATATTTAAAAAGAGTGTTTATAAGCAAAAAGATTGTTTGTTAAATAATTTAATAGAATCATTATATGCGTAAAATGGAGTACAAAATATAAACAAATTATCAAAAAATAAAATAAGCCACGATGAAAGAGCTCGCGTAACATAGTTTATTTGCAGTTCGGATCATCACTTTTGTAATATCGTGTCACAACTGTTGTTTGTTTAATGAGTTTTAGGTCTAGGAAAATTTCTGTACTTCATAAAATTCGGATATTAAATTTACCGGAATTAAACTTAAACTGATATTCCGATTTCGCGCAAATATATGTTCCAGAGTGAACGTATTTTGCGATTTGTTTTTAACAAAACGCATTAAATTTCAAGTAACGATTTCCAATAAAACGTCAATCCTTATGATTTCATCGTTATTATTGTCAGCGTTGGTCAAATCTAAAATCTAAAATGATTTAAATTCTGAAAAAAATGATTTGTATTTAAATAAATCATTTATCTACTTTTTAATCGCATTTACCGTTGATATAGCGCAAATACAAGAAAGTATTCTCATACTTATTAAGTATTAACACATGATTCGTAATTTGTTATAAACTTATAAATTCTATCATCGAAAATGAAATATATCCAAAATATATGTATGTTACAAAGTTATTTCAAGGGTCTGTTTCCGAACATTCTGTTTCCGTACTACATCGCCATTCACCATATATCGTTACATTTATGCTCATTTAGGCTCGTCTTTACATTGCCATTCTCGACGTAATCAATAACCGTAAACTTATAGGTTCCTGAAATCTAATTGATAATAAAAGTTAACAGTATAAAAGAATTTATTTAGATTTCGAAAAAGTGAATTGTTAAAACTCGATTCCATTTCATCGATACGTTCTAATGTCTCATAATAAAATTAATAAAAAATTTTAGGTTAGTTTAGACCTAATTTTGATCAAGACTACAACCACTTACTGGTTTCATCTCCATTCCCGAGTCATACAGAGTCACTTTAGAGGTTAGACTATATCACTCCAAAAAAATTAAAAGTTACCTTTAAAAAGTAAAATACACTGTAATTGTAAACAAAATTTATTTACTTCTAAAATAGGTTTGTTCGTTTAATAAATACTATTAATAAATATTACTTTGATGGTATACATCTGGGTAACAAGCAGAATTAGTACAGTATATTGATTTTGTATCATGTAATCATGTATCAATAATTATGTCATTGAAACCTGTATTGGATGTCCAATTCATGTAATTGGACATCGGATATCCAATCGGACAATTGAACGTATGTCCAAATCCAATTGGATAATGTCCACATTGCCCAAATCAAATAATAATTGAACAACTGGACATACATCCAATTGGATGCTCAACAAATGTCCAATTGAATAACACTATACGTGGGGGAGAATTAGGTTCAAGCCATATCGAAATATTACGGCACATAGACGGTCTTTTCAAGGATCGAAGGACTCGGAAGACCCCAACAAATAATGCTAATTCATCTTCGGAGGACGAAAATTTTTCGAAGCAACGGGTTCGAAGGTTCAGAAAACGGATATGGTGGAAGATTTTAACAAATTGAATGCGGTTTTTGGTGATAGAATTAAAGATATTAGTGGTAATGCAGAAAGTTCAAAAGGTAAAGAAGGTAAAAAAATTGAGACGGATAGTGATTTATTGAATGTAAATAAAAAACGTATTGCGCAAACTCAGGATGCTAGGGATGATAGTGATAGTGAGTAGTTTCAATAGAGTAGTCTTTTATACTGTAATAAACTTAATTTAGTTAATATTGACACGATGTATGTATTTACGTTGACATTGGGATTAATTACGTTTTGGTAATTATTCTAATACTAATAAAGAAAAAATATATATATATATATATTACGGTACATCAACATTACAACCGGGTGTAATACTGGCGTAATACTATTTTAATATGAATCTTTGAATAAAAATTTGGTGTAATAAATTTCACTATTACGCCGCCTAAATGCTGAATTATCTGGAATAATTACGCCCTATGTATAAGCCAACATTAATAGAAATAATAATTCAACGAAGACGCGAAATATATATTTATGTAGGTGATATTTGTGGGGGAGAAATATAGATTATAGAGCGAAAAAGAATTTTATCTCATTTTTAACCATTTTTGATTTTGATATTTATTACCCTATAAATATCATAATACTGATATTTCATGTGAAAGGTAATTTATCGTAAGGGGTATGCCCGTATTCGTGATGACCTTGTTTTCATACTATACAAATTATATGATTGTTTTCTTAAAAAATATAAGAACTATTAAAAAAGTATTTAATATTAAACCATCTAATGGATCTCTGAACATTAGAATCTATTTTACAGAAGTTAATAACTCAGATAGCCATTCTAAACGGGATTTCTGTAAGTAACATTTTTTAGAAATAATATTGATTTATTGAATCATTTTATCATTATCTTCAATTCATAAAAAAATTTAAAATTTTTTTATTAATAACTTAATTACACAATTCTTGGTTTGATAGTGAAAAAATCGCAAACTTCTCATTGACAAAAGACATTTTAAGCAAAGTTCGGCATAAAGGTAAGAAAATATTTTGTCTCTTATTAATAATGAAGCACCTTAATAATTTTTTTTTATATTATACTTCAGAATACTGAAACCGAAACGTACAATATGTACAATATGGTTACGTGAGACGATTTTACTATTTTGATAGACAAATTATCACTAAAAGCGAGAGTATTTCCTCTTTCATTGAAGCTATCATTATTAAAGGTTGATATTTTACACATTCTAAACAATGACAAAGCATAGTAAGTGTGCTATTCCCAATTCTCCGACTATACGAGGAAGAAGAAGAGCGTTCGTCTCACCTCCGTTATGTGCACATCTTACTATATAAGATCTTGCCGAATCTTGAGGAATTGGCTATGTACCTTCCTTATAATAAAGCATTTTACAATTCCCCAACTTTTTTCAATCGAAAATGATACCAACTAAATACAACTAGTAAGTACTACCAACTTTCTTTTCCTTATATGGTGTCTTTGTTGATGGCTTTAATTCTATATACTGTATTTAAATACTTTCAAAGGATAATGCTAATCACAAGATTCCCGTTTCAAGGGCCAGACTACATTTTGTCAAGAAATTGGGAAGCAAAATATGAACCAGCTAATGGGGAACTTTTATTTACGCCTATCAACTGACTTTTAAATTAATATGAATGAACTAAGTCAAAAAATATTACTATTGATACAACTGTCTCATGCGCTTAGTATATTTTTTCATATGATTGTGAACAAAATTATGGCAGTAAATTCATTTAATCCTACAGAAAGAGTTGGTTTACTGATTGTAAAATTGGAAAGTTTTAGAGGAATTACAATTGGATGCTACAAACTAAAATCCCTAAAAAAAGACTCTGGAAATCGATTTAAACTCTTGGTCTTAGTAGCACATTAAGGACAAAATTAATGATTTTTATAGATTCCAGTTATCAGATTGAAATTGCAAGAATTTTCACCAATTATAATGTATAGTATTCTCCTTTAGAAAGTCTTAGAAACATGATCAAGTATGCTTGATAAGAACAAATTTTATGAAATATTATTATTTTATACTTATGGTATACTTATGATAGTAAAAAGAAAACATCTTTTAATTGCTTGTATAAGTTGTATTTACTAGGGAAATGGTGACCGTTACGAAGTCCGGGGCTTATTACGTTGGAAACGATACAATAATATGAAAGGACAAACAAAGTTAAAAAGCAAGTCGATAGATATATTCAATTCATTTTATTTTGACTTAATTCGCATTTGTTATAAATTTGTACAAAAATAATTTATTTTGTTTCATATTTGTTATAAAATTTAGCAAAAATAATAAAAATTCTATCTATTTGGGTGCGTTAAAAAACCTTTGCATCAAAAATTTTAAAAATATAAAAAATGGAACAAAAAAATATTTATTTGATCGTAAAAGCTAAAAATATAACACTAAAGAGTCAAGAGCTATAATCCTTTGTTTGTAACGCAGACATATTTGCCAGCTAACTTTTTCGAACTTAAATTATTATATAACTAGTGTACTAAGTATATTTTTCACTATAATTATTTGTAGCAACCAATCTTGATATTGTCAACAAATAACTATATTTATAATAATAAATCAATGACAACGAAAATTACCAATTAAATTGAAACAATTTTTCTAATTGGTTACAGCTATTTGCAAAATAACGGACCACCTAATTCGATATTCGACTGTATGAAATTTTCATACGCAGCCATACGCAGTCATACACGCATATTACCATGCGCATGACTGCGTATGAAAAATTTCATAAAAATTAGGTGGTCCGTTATTTTCGCAAATAGCTGTAAAACTATAAATCGAAATAAATATTATTAATAATAACAAAATTTTCGTAAATATCATAAGAAAAATAAGATTTGAAATTTTCGGCGAAATGACTTTGGCAAAAAGTCAGGATACTTCGGTTATCTACCTTTCTTTGATTAATGGATTTGCTAAAATGGGCATAAAAGATAAAGTTTAAAATGATTCGATCTTTAAGAAAAAATACCACCAATAAGATATTTGAAAAAAAATGCGAGTAAATACAACATTCCAATGACTACAGTAATTATAAATTACGAAAATATTCCATATAAAACTCCTTTTCGTCTTAATTTTACTATATTTATTCCACAAAAATTGGATAAAAGTTTATTTTTAAATATGGGGAAATAGCAAAGCAATAACAATACTTTTACTAAAAGAATCATGTATGGTATGATTGATTTCACATGAAATTTATGGAATATATGGTAAACATACATGTACGGACTATAGCATACCGGTATAGAGCGATGCTGTACCAACAATCAAGAACAATTGGATTATTTTGTTTTCCCTTAAACGTTATTAATTATTATAACTTTCACATTTTGCTTTAACATCCCATTTTTATTCGCTTTTTATAAAAAAAAATATTTATAAATAATTAAAAATCAATAATATATAGTTTACATACCAGATACATGTCCGTATACGGACATTTTGTTTCTTTCGAAATAAATATAATGAAAAAATTATGTGTTCATCTCTATTTCGTCCATTTTTAACCCGGAAAAAATTCTTTTGTTTCCATATTCTCTTGCTCATTTAAATACTTTTTTAGAATGATTACTATTATTGACATCATATTTTGAACTATAAATAATTTTTAAATTATTTTATTAACTGAATATATAAAAAGTAAAATTATTTGGTACAATCTTAACTTTATTATCGGCTTTTAAAAATAGATCTTCATTGATGCCATAATTGATTCTAATTGTTTCTAATTATTTACAATCATTGCAAATTATTTCTTTTCCCTTTACATTTACATTTAAAGAAAGATCATCATAATTTACTAACCCTTTTGTTGTTCACAGGAATTTTTTCTCCTTTGCGCTTAAAATCAAAATCAAAATGTTTCAATTGGACCATCTCCGATAGTAAATTATTATAACAATGCATTCAATTACTTCAAACTCCGATAGTAAAATTATTATAAATATAAATTGATAATTTTTTTTCGAAAAAAAAAAAAAAAAAAAAAAAAAAAAAATCATGGCCAAAGATTCGATTATTATAAACAACAATAATTTTAATAAAATTAAATCAGAAATACCATATGAAAAATTCTCACAAATTATAAAAGAAATAGAAAAATCATATGAAGAAATAGTAGAAATATATAAAAAAGCTGAACATAATAGAAGAATATGTGGTATAATGTTAGAAAGGGTATTAATAGCTAATATGATAATAAATAATTTAAAGATTTGTAAAGAAGAAAATTTAAATTTTTTTTTATCAGAAAAAAATTATATTAATTTAAATAGATTTTCTATTATTATAAGTAAAATATATAAATTATTATTAGAAATTTCTCAATTACAAAGTTTATATAAATATATTAAATATAATAATATAGAAAAAATTGTTAAAAATTTAAAGGATGATTTTGATTCTACTATTCAAATTTTAAATTTTCCTTTAAAAGTCAATTATAATTTAAATTCTGATGATGATGAGAAAAGGATTAAAGCTGATATTAATGATCTAAATGAGGTAACGTGTAATAAAGTTTAAATTGCCATAAACATGATTAACTTTAGTTAAATATGCATGAGAAATTGCCATTAATAACATCATCTAATACGTCATCATCATTTGTAGTATCTTCAATATATTGAAGGTGATTTAACCGATTCGGATAAAAATGTTTCCGATATAGTTATACATTTGAACGCACTTAATAATACTATTAATAGTAAATTATACGATCATGATGAATTTGATGAATTTCTTCCATATAATGATTTTGAAATATTGAATAATGATTTTTCAAGTACGAGAAAATGTAAAAGAATAAAAAATGGGGATAATGATTTTGTGGCATTTAAATTAGTAAATAACAAAAATGACATTATTAAACAAGTTAAAATTTTAAGTAAATTAGAGAAATGTCATAATATAATTAAATTTTATGGATTAATTATTGAAGATAATAATGTTGATAAATGGTATTTAGTAAATGAATGGGCGGAATATGGTAATTTACGTAATTATTATTTAGAATATGGTCCACTTGACGTTAATGTGAAATTAAAATTTGCTGTTGATATTGCCAGAGGATTGAATTTTTTAAAATCTATTGGGGTAATTATTTAATTTTATTAATTTCATTATATTTCGTTTCGTTAATTTTGTAATTCTCTAAATTATTATTTAGATGATTAATTGTATATCTATATATGCGGAGAATATTTTAATTACGGATCGTGAAACAGCAAAGATTGGAGGAAATTTTAATTCAATTGATTATTCAAATATGAATTTAGAAAGGAATTCCAAGTTAGAAAATTTAACTCAATATCTTGCTCCAGAATTATTAAATTCAAATTCACAAAGATATGAAACAAAGAGCATAATTTATAGTTTTGGTAAACTTCTTTGGGAAATTGCTGAAGAAAAATATCCTCAAAAAAGATATGAAACATTTTCTACAAATTCTTTTTTACCAAAAGAATATAAAGAAATTTCACAAAAAGGTAATAAATATATTTTTTACAATGTGCAATCACTTTTTAATCTAAATTTAAAAAAATACCAAACTTTCTTTGTTTTGTAAAATAAATTCAGCTACCAATGATGACCCTTATTTAAGACCTACGTTGGCAAAAATTTTTATAACGTTACATCGTCTTTATAAGAATGATGATAAAAAATTATCATCATCTACTTATGTATTAAAGAATGAAGTAAAAGAAAAAGGTATTATAAAAGAGTCAAAATTTTCAGATTTTAATTATATGACATTAGATATAGCAATGATACAACATAAACTTTCAGATGGAGATTGTAATCTTGCTTTTAAATGTTTTGAAACATATTCAAAATTAGGAGATATGAGAGCAAAATATTTTAAAGCATATTATATTCATAAAAAATATATTAAACTGGATATAGATGATACAAAAAGAGATCAATTAATAGCGAAATTATTTAAAGAAGTGGCAGATTTAGATGAATATCCTGAAGCTCAAATACGTTATGGTTATTGTTTATATAAAGGTATTGGAGTTAAAAAGAATTTAAAAGAAGCTTTAGAATATTATACAAAGGCTGCAGAAAATCATCAAATTAATGCTATGTATAATGCCGGTTTTTTATATTTTTCTGGTGATGCTGGTAAAAAAGATTTTAAATTAGGTGAAAGATATATGAAATTAGCAGCTTATCATCAATATAAACCAGCTATGGAATATTGTAAGAAACATAATATTCTATTATAATTATGTCTTAGTATTTTTTAAATAAATTATATTTAGCACAAATTAATACGTTTTTAAACAATTCCGATATTTGTGATACATAAAACAATGGCTTTCCTAAAAGATTGCCCCATTTTGCTAAATTTTGTAATTATTTAATCTTCTCTTTAGTCTTGTTTTTTTTTAAGGAAAACTAGCGTTAAAAAATGTTTCAAAATTAAGCAATGACGAACCAATCATGTTTAGGCAGTAATTTACGACATCATCGACATCGTCGGTAAGGTAAGTCCGGATCCGGGATTGATATATTCCGAGCTGAAGCAAAGTAATTAAACTATATCTGCTTAGTCTTGTATTAGAAATGCAATGAACATTACTTATGATACAAAAAGAGAAAAATAAAAATTGCCTATTATGGGGTTTACTTTAAATATAACAGATGAATTTAGTAACTACTATAAGATTAATAAGATTTTTAAATTAGATAATTGTTTAAAATGTTTCAAAGAACCCTGCATATATCATCATTGTATCAAGTCTGCATAATTGAGTGAAACAAACTATTAATTTTTTTTTACTTTATTCGTTTTTTTTTTTTTGCTCAAAACTTAATTCAAAAGTGCGATATACATTACATTTAAAGTTCCAAGTCAATCCAAAATCTAAAACCAATTTCTTATGAAAATTTTAATATATTTTTATAATATTCACTATGTTCGAGTCGATGATTCTTAATAATCCAAAATTAAGACCTTATGATTGGTTTCTATTTTACCCGATTTACCGATAAAAAATTACCGTTGTTTTCATGTTCTAGATCACTTGCTTGTGTTTATTTTAATTATCTATTTTTGGTTAACAAACATTTTTTGCCAATAAAAAGTTTTTAGGCAATTGATATAATTTATTTTTGACAATACCATGGACATATTTTCGCGTTTTCCGGTGATTATTTATTTAGCATCAAAAATAATAGGGTTTAACTTATTATGGTATTTCACTAATTTGTAAGAGTATAACTAAGATTAAAATTCGGAGATGACCGAATAAATTCTTAATAATTTATTTGTACAAAGAAACAGAAACACGCCGGATAAATAAAAAGTAAAAACCAAATAAGCGATTTTATCAACCCAAAATTTGATATTTTTAGAATTATTTTGAGAAGGATGAAGATATAATAGAAGATAATAGAAGATTTAATAGAAGATATAATAGAAGAGAAGGATGAAGATATAATAATAGAAGATACGAATGAAAATAAAAATAAAGATGAAGTAAAGATAAAGATTTGAAATACGATTAATACGATTAATACCTTCTACTCACGGATATGTATGACTTTTAAAAGAACAGATGAACTACGAGAATACAAACATCGTCCCACTTTATTTATATGGATAGCATGTGTAATACTTCCATTTATAAATACTTCCATTTATACTATACTTTATAATTAAATTTCTATTCTTGTTTTTTAATTAGTGGTGTTTCCAACTGCAGATGCCAAAAAAAAAAATATATTGTACTTTTTTTTATATAATTTTACATAAAATGAGAATATAAATAATTTTATGTAATATAAAATATAATTATTGGTTAAAAGGTCACATTTCAATTATATAATATCTAAACTATTAGGACAATGTAAATCTCGTGAACAAATCCTACTACTATTATATAATATAAATATTATCGGCGATATTATCCCATCATTATTATTATTATTAGTAGTAAGTAGTTCAAATTTTCAATTTGTAATTTTGAAATATAAAAAAATTAAACAATTACTACAATGTAATAATTTACATCAATATTATCAGTATTACACACTTACACCAACCTAATTAATTCAGTATCACGCCATCATTTTTAAAAATTTCAAAATCTTTTGATCATCCGGATATTAAACTTATTAAAAATATATTAATATATATTAAAAAAATTTCATTTTTTTCGAAACGTTTAGAATTTTAGAATTTATTATTACCGCTGATCCAGGCTGTTGGGTCGGAATTTCCATAAATGTTGCGGGGAATTTATATTAGTGGATCTTCATGCATTATATGCATTATGCAATTAAACGCATAATTTTAATAAGGGTTCTCTAATTTTTTTTACAGTTAGTAATACAAACAACAAAATATTGCGTATTTGCTTTAAGTGGTAAAAACCAACATAAGTGGTGCTTTGGTGAATCCTTTTATTTTATTTTATTTTTTTTAAAAAAAAAAAAGATTTATTTATTTTAAACTTGAATCATTTATAATATTTATTATGTTTCGATTATGCAACATTAAATTCTCTTTATAAAGCACATTTTTTTTTTCTTTTTTTTATAAAATCGAACCAATTAAATTTTAAAATCAAACAATCAATTAAAATAATAAATTATATTGTTAGAAAAAAAAAA